TGCTACGTTACAGGACAGTGATATGTCCCAGGTGATCTGCTCCACCCTGGAACAGGGATAATTTCAACACCTAAATTACTACAATATATCTGGGATGGGCTGCTTCTTTATGGATAATATAGTATCTTTCTGTGTGTAGCCAGGTGCTTGGCCAGAGAGAGTGATTCAGGACACTGTGCTGTAATATTTTTTGTGTCTCCACTGGACTTCAGGTTGAATAGGTTAACACTACCTCACCTCCATCCACCAGGTGAAGCTGTCAAGCAGAAGGTGCTGAAGAGACCAGATGGCTGGCAGCACTGAATCACGGGAGATGAAATTCAGGACAGAAACTTTACTTTGGTAGTTAATGGATGATTGGACTACAATTCACAATCCAAGCTGGGCATAAAGGGAGAGAGAGATCATTTTCACAGGTTGAATATAGAGGACTTTCCTCTTTGCTACAAGGACACCAAGGTGTGCACACTGCTGCTCCTGTAGTCATGTGCTGAGGATCAGAGTCATTCCAGGCTGATCCAGAAGTGTGATTTACAGTGGGACTCCTGTTGCTGTATCGCTGGGACTGGTGAGAGGACACCGTAAAAAACTGGGCCCCAACACTAACTGGCTGAAGAACTAGGGCTAAAAACTACTCATTCATCACTGACAGTCTATAGAGTGCACTATAAAGTGGTTATTGGTCCCCTTTTCAGCGACAGTTCTCAGGTCTAGTGATATGTTGCTCATGCACCAAGCACTGAGCTGTGTAAAATGAGAGAGAGTATGTTCCATACCAATGTAGGGACACTAAATAAACACATCACCATGGGGAACATGCAGTTTTAGGGTCATTTTCTTTTGTGTGACCTAGAAACAGGTTTACAACCCCAGAGGAGCTAGCACTAGCCCACAAATGTCCACACTCATGGAACTTGTTTGTTTACATCAGGTTTATTTTTGTTCCACTACAAAGTGAAAAGATAGAATCTTCATGCTCAATATAGAAAAAGAAAAGAGCAGAACTTTCATTAATATAACAAAAACTCTCTTTAAAAATATAGAGATTATATATAGACTAATTCAACTGTTAATGGAACAAGAAACATGAATAAATGAGTTAAAAAAACAAACAACTTTTAACTATTTGAATTCTTTACCCCTGTCCATGACCCCTGATATGGGTCATGGACATCAACGACAATATACAAAATGCTCTCCTATTTCAAGCTGACTACACTAGGCATGCGAGCACATCCATCTCAGTGTCAGTTGTCAGTTCCTGGCTGTGCTTGGAGGACAGACTGCAATGGACACCCTCCCCTGCACAGCTATTTTCTAGGAAGATGAGTGTACTGCTGCTTCACCACCCCCTGCTCCCTAAGCCCCTTATGCATCAGAGAACAGAGATGAAAAAAAAAGAAAAAAAAAAAAAAAGTATTTAAATTGTTTGTTATATATACATATATTGAGTTTACCTTTCATTTCCTATTTTAACCTGAATGGGTTGTTTTACAAGGTAAGGGTTCACCTATACTTTAATGAAGAGGCAATAATGCAAAACAGGTTCAGGATGGCAATAAAGCATGCACACACTGCAGAATAATACAAAAAAGTCAGTGAAGTTCAGGGTAATTCTGCTAACACATGCAAACAGCTGGAGGGATCCAATGTCTGAAGACATGGGATCACCCAATTAAACTAGAGTACTCTAGTAGCAATCAGGGAGGGGTCTCCACAGTAGCTGAGCTTTCCCAAGTAGCTGCATGCTATTAGGCTGCCCATATACCAATTCTGACAGTGGAGGGGCTATCACTTGACTGCCTCATTAGATATTGCCTCTCTGGGCTGCTGAGTGAGTAGGTTTCCTGAGTGTGTCTAGGAATGCAGGTAGAATGTGTAAAATGGTGGTAATGGGGCCTGCTCTTTGATCTCAGCATGATGAGTAAATGGGCATTTTGCTACAGAGATACTGCATAAACAATGGAATATCAGGAAGACCTTTACATTTCAGTCAGGATCCAGTAAAGATGTTGCTGATGAGCTTGAAAGGTTTTGAATGATGTAAGCTATTTTATACTTGCCTTTGTAGAGCTCCACAGTAATATAATGAGCAATCTAAGATCAAAAGTGTGGTATGTAAAAAAAAAAATCAGACCATTAACAACAACATACAAAGCCACTCTGCCTCAAGCTACATCACCAATCTTGTCTCCAAATATTACCCAAACTGTTTGCTTTGCTCCTCCTGAGACTTTCTGCTCTCTAGCACCCTTGTCTACTCCTCCCTTGCTCATCTACATGACTTCTCCAGAGCCTCTCCCATCCTCTGGAACTCCCTACTCCAATCTGTCCAGCTATCTCCTACTCTGTCCACTTTTAGGCAATCTCTGGAAACTCATCTCTTTTGGGAAGCCTATCCTGCTTTCAGCTAATAACTGAATTTGTTATTCCTCCCATCAGTTCATCCCTCACGGTTGCTACCTTTTGTTCCACCAGCCCTTCCCTATTAGATTTTAAGCTCTCAGGAGCAGGGCCCTCCTAACCCTCTTATTTTGAATTTGTATTGTTGCTGTATTGTCTCCCTTTATATTATAAAGCGCTGTGCAAACTGTTGGCGCTAAATAAATCCTGTATTATAATAATAATATTCTATATACAAATCAATTCAAGTTGGAAAGTTTTTTTTGCATGAGCACCTCTGGGGCGGGCACTGATGTATCTAAGGTGCAGGGTAACAAGTCATATAAATGTATTGAGGGTCACATGAACCTCTAGTATACATTTAAATGGGTGTAATAAAGAGGAAGTTTTAAATGCATAATTTACACTCTATTAGAATTTGCAGCAAACAAGTCTGGAATGGACTTCATATATCACCTATTTTGGTGTCAGAAATGGAAGTCCCAAAAAGTTGTGTGTGAAGAAGCTTCCCATAGGAAAATGGTATGTAGAAGATTATCAGATGATCATTCATAGTAGTGCTGATTCTGAGTTTTGAATCACCATATCTTATCTGCCCTCATGTTGGGTACTTATTACTTCTGGAGGAAACAGAAAGATTTCCCAAACCAAAGAAAGAGAAACTGGATTGCACTACAGTCTCTAAAGATAGGGAGAGAAATATGTCAAACAAACTGGGTCTTTCTGTATCAGATCAGATCCCCAAGGAATAATAATATAACCAATATACCCATAACCCATTTAACAGTTTCATTTAGGGAGGCATTGATATGTCACTATTTTTGCAACTTTAGTTTGTTACAATTTTTTAAACATCATATGCAATGAAAATCATTTTATAATTTACTTTCCTTAAAAACTGAATCTGTTGTTTTGTAACTTAGAAATATTGCCTAAACGTCATAGCAGCTTTATTCATTTTGTAACCAGCATATCATAAAATTCTCATTCCCCTACTAATATAATTATCTCTGTGCCTTTCCCTCAGGTCCACATAGACCTTTAGGCTAAATTACAGGCAACCTGTTGAATAGAAAATTATATCCCCAGCACTGTCCCTAGGCATACCGTACTGTGCATTTCATCTTTGGGTTAGACCAGGCATATCAAACTGATTTTTTGCTGAATGCCTCTCTTTCTTTGCATCCATCAGCTTTATTACAGATTTAAATGAAGGCCACTTATAAAGGCTCCAATGAAGAAAAAAGTATCTAAGAAGCCCTGGGACTTTGATGTGAATTCATACAAAGTAGTGAGAGGGCAAAATGGTCATTGGCTCAAGTGAGAATGCTCGCAATAAACAGGGTTACCCTCCAGTGGGTAACCCATCAGGTTACCAGAAAAAAACATGCAATTATGGAAGGAACCCCAGACCAAAGAATAAGAGAGTCCAAATTCACATATTAGTTTGTACTAATAAACAGCAAACGTATTACAAGGGTCAAAGAAACGACCCCTTCACTAGGGCTACAGCAAAAAAACAATATAATGTAATTGTGACAGATAAAATCATGAGTCTAAAAGTCATAGAGCACCAGGATTAACATACAGTACATATAGATACAGTATGCGTACACACTATATATGTGCATTCAACTCCCCCCCCCACATATTAACATACATGCACACATGCAGTTTTTTTGTCCGGTTTTCTCATTGTATGTACTAGACATTAGGCTGCATTAACACTATAACATGCTTAAAAAACACATGAAGCTCGAACTTAAAGGTGTATGAGCTACTTTGATGCAACTTTGGTGAGTAGGGCAGCCTATTGAAATGAATGGGCTGCCCTATGGTGTTGCACGTCATAATATGAATAGGGCCTGAAGATTTGAAGATATTTGTAATTATAGGATAGTCTGAGCCTCCAATTTAGTACTCACGTTAAAAAAACTCAACACATGCACCTTATTTGTTTTTCTTAATACCTATAAAACAGGAGTAGATGAGAATAAAAAAATGAAGTTTCCTAAAACGCTTGTATTGCAAAGAGTTAATCTAGAGTGGAATGTTTTTATCAAAAAATCTGGAGCTTTACTTTAATTGGTTTTCAGACATCCCATTTCCAAACACAGAATTTCCTTTTCATTATCAAAGCTGCTGTAATATTTCATTATTATCATCAGCAGCCTTTTAAGCTGTGCTTGTTATACCTACAGGGCTTTTCTAATCCATCTGTATGTCCATATGTGCTGCAGAAACAGCACGTACTCACAGCGCTATGTCAGATCATTTTCAGCATTCAATACACACGAAAACAGAAACGGCATATATCAGGATTACCAACAAGCAGAGGATGTGATTTTGGAATTCAAAGGCAAAAATACAAATATAGAGTATAATATACATACCATATATACATAGCACCAGTCTTATATTAACAATACTGTATTGACCCCAAATCCATCAAGAAAGGGACAGAAAACATAAAGAAAAGTTGAGATTGGTCATTCCCAGCAAATGATGTGATCTGAATATTATTTGGGACCCTGGGGCTTTGTCAGATTAACTCTTGAACATAAGGAATGGCTGCAAGTGATGGAAATAGTCTACATGACAGCATACTCAGTGTGTACCATTACATCACAGGGGATCAGGGGCGGACTGACCATTTGGAAACTCGGGCACTGCCCGAGGGCCCGGGGTCAGTAGGGGGCCCCATGAGATGCCCCTGGTACCTTTTTCATAGGCTGTTTTGAGTTTGGGCAAGAACACAGGGGCCCTATGATCCCCTATTGCCCGGGGGCCCCATGAGTTGTCAGTCCGCCCCTGCAGGGGACTTGACACAACTGCAACCAAAGAGATCTTTACCTCTGCTAGAGTGTAACAAAGTTTGGACTCTAACATTTCTTGGTTCTCCATGACCCATTGTCTTGCATGTACTTGTTAAAAAACAAATGCAAAACCACTTGTCTCAACTGTATTTTTTTCAATGCTGGACACATTAAAAGTGAATAGCTAGGTCTCCTCTTGCTTAAATGCCATCTGTATTGAATGAGACCAGCAGGGGATATCACATATGTTCACTGTATACACCAATTGTAGGGGGAAGTATGCAGTGAAAAGTTACATGTTCTCTCACCAGCACCCAAAGTTTTTTTTTTTTTGGTGATTAGTAAGGGCCTGTATTGATGTGCTTTTAACATCAATTTGAAACACTTCCGAAATCATTCTGAATCCAATCAATTGCAGGTACAGTTGATTTCTAACTGGTCCTCATTTGACAGATGCTTTTGTATTCCCTTTGCAGAGACGTGAACACATGTCTGCTGATGCTGGCCCTAGTTCTCCCTGTTAAAATCCAACTGAACATTCAGTTTAAATCAGCTAAACACATTCTAGGTGCATCAAAACAATAGGTGTACAAAGCACAGTTGCATACAGCTCATTTGCTTTTGGAAATCAGTCACAGCCTGAGTAGAAAAGCCTGTCTCCTGCCAGCACGCTAGAGAAATGAAAAGAAACCAGAGCTAAATCAGCAGGAACCCTAAACTTTGCAGACTGCAAAGCAAGGGGTGTGATTGGCCTAAGCAGAGAAACCACAAGCAGAGACCTCAAACAACCTCTGCAGAAATATTTTGGATATTTTTTGATTGATCACTATTATTTCCACTTGGATTAGATATATGTTTATGGGTTTGTCTTCACTGCCACCTTCATCTTTAATGAAGTAAACATATGAACACGGACAGTCTAAAGATCTTTTAATTTTTTATTTTTTACATTTGCTCAATTTTTTAAATGTGCTCATATGTCCAGACTCCTCATGATTTCAATCACCAATATAGCTGGTAGCCTGTCTCTTTTTGCTAATTATATAGTTACAAAGCTAGTAAAGTTCAAGACACCAGTTCATCCAATTCAACCTGCATTTGGTTTAAGACTGAACCCACTTCTCATCCAACTTCATTGTGTGGCCACATGTCATCTTTAGAGACCTTTGGTTAAACAGTTTTCTCCCAATAATTGTCATTATTTAAAGATATGTATATTGCGATCATATCCTCTCTTAAGTACCTCTTCTGCAGGAGGAACATATTTACATTTTGTAGTCGTTCCTTATAACTGAGGTCCTCAAGCCCCCCTTTTCAGTTTTGTTGTCCTTCTCTGAACTCTGAAGATTGGTGACCAAAACTGGATGACATAACTGGATAGGTTGCCTGTCAACTTGTAAAGAAGAATGCCCTTATTGGCAGTTTATATCAGATGGGGAGGGGATATGCTAGTGCAGACAACATGAATGGAACAGCTTTGTTGTGCCTACTGTAATCCTTATCAATGTCAACTGAAGGGATGGAAGAGGGAAGGCTGCTGCCTCGCCTAGGGTCCCATTCTGCCTTAATCTATCTCTGGTCGGATGTTACAGAAATTTGTTGCTAGAACTTGATATCAATCACGGCCATGATCTACAAGCTGTCACATAAAAACATCATCTAAAAGAGTGATTAGAAGCAAAAACGAAAACAAATCTGATTGCACTGTTTAATTTGAACATTTTGAAGATTAAAAATAGAATACAGAACAAGATATGCAGGCACATATCCAATAAATTAAGTCAATTAAAATAGACAGGATAACAAAGTAGAACACGAAAGACAATTAGAACAATCTTCCTTTGGAGGGCAGAACTTGTTCCAAATGAATGTTTAAAAAAATGTTGGAAGAATTCATTATTGAAATCCCTTAAAGAAGAACTACATACTAATTAGAAAAGAGAATATTGTTTTATAATGAGATGTTGCTGGTATCAGTAACTGCTGTGTAACCAGTGAACTCTTTATATCATTTTGTTGCAGACAAAGAACAGCTATGTGCAAACCCCGGACAACCGAGTCAATGGGGATGATTCCCTAAAGAAACAGAACATGTTCATTTAGCAAAGTATTGTTCTCTTAGCTTAATGAAAGAGGTGAAACTGTGTTCTCTTTAATCACCTGATCATGTGCAAGCAAAAATCCTGATTTTTTTTTATCCTTTGCACATGATTGAGTCCTCACAGTGAATGCAGCGTTGCCTCATTTGCAAAGCTGAGTGAACATGTGCAGTTGTGTTCAAAATAATAGCAGTGTGTTGAAAAAAGTGAATAAAGCTCAAAATCCTTCTAATAGCTTTTATTTCCATACACACAAATGCATTGGGAACTCTACACATTCTATTCCAAATCAAAACATGAAGAAAAATATATTAAATTTGTGTTGTTCCTCTAAAAAAATTGAAGAAAAGTGAATATTAGACTGTTCAAAAAAATTGCAGTGTTTGTATTCTTCTTTACAAACTGAAACATTCACTATATAAACTGAAAAATGTTTGAAGATTTTGCTTTCCTTTGAATCACTTAATGAATATTTAGTTGTATAAGCACTGTTTCTGAGAACTGCTGTACATCTGTGTTGCATGGAGTCAACCAACTTCTGGCACCTGTGAACAGGTATTCCAGCCCAGGATGATTGGACGACATTCCACAGTTCTTCTCTATTTCTTGGTTTTGCCTCAGAAACTGCATTTTTGATGTCACCCCACAAGTTTTCTATTGGATGAAGATCCGGGGATTGGGCTGGCCACTCCATAACATCAATCTTGTTGGTCTGGAACCAAGATGTTGCACGTTTACTGGTGTGTTTGGGGTCGTTGTCTTGTTGGAACACCCATTTCAAGGGCATTTCCGCTTCAGCATAAGACAGCATGACCTCTTCAAGTATTCTGATGTATTCAAACTGATCCATGATTCCTGGTATGCGATAAATAGGCCCAACACCGTAGTAGGAGAAACATCCCCATATCATGATGCTTGCGCAACCATGCTTCACTGTCTTCACAGTGTACTGTGGCCTGAATTCAGTGTTTGGGGGTCGTCTGACAAACTGTCTCCGGCCACTAGACCCAAAAAGAATAATCTTACTTTCATCAGTCCACATAATGTTGCGCCATTTCTTTTTTTCATGGTAGTTTTTCGCTTTCTTCCACGTCTTTCAGGTTTTGGTTGCCATTTTAAAGCATTTGCGACCATTTTAGCTGAGCAGCCTATCATTTTCTGCACTTCTTTATATGTTTTCCCCTCTCCAATCAACTTTTGATGTTCTTCAGAACAATGTCTGGAACGACCCATTTTCCTCAGAATTTCAGAGAGAAATGCACTGTAACCAGCATGTACAACATTTGCTGCCTTCCTTCCTTAAATAAGGGGAATAATTGCCACCTTTTTTTCAAAGAATGAATGACCTCACTAATAGAACTCCACACTGCTATTATTTTGAACATGCCCCTTTCAATTAGTGATTCAATTACACAGAATCAGCAGCATGCATGTCATGACTGTTGGGTCTGTTGGATTTCTATTACTCTACTACACCTGCTAGTAAATTATTTGAAATTATAATTTCTACCAAAAACAGTGATTGATCAGGTTAGTGATGTCTGACTGCTATTATTTTGAACACAACTGTACTTTGCAATGTGAACATTCAGTTTGCTACATGAACGACCTCTGTTACATTAGTAAATCAACTCCTTTGTTTCAGCTGATATCATGATCATGTGATTTCCTCTAACTACCTGCATGTATCAATATAAAAAATGTTTTTTTATCTGAACTAACTTTACAAAACAAGCATTAAAGATTTGGGCTATAAAGTATCAAACAGCTTTCTAGCAAAAGACTGTTGAGTACTAGTGGCTTTTTTAAGCATCTGAGCTGTCAAAGCTGTGGCCAAAAACATCCGGCAGAGGGCAAAGTATTAGTCACTAGTATTGTATGTACAGTACACTGTGTTTCTGTAGATGATCTTTTCCTCATCATTGATTTATCATGCCTTGTTTTGTACTGTGTCTCTGGGTAGAGACAGCTATCTTGGTGGAGGAGGAGGGCTTTGATTCATTATGTCAGAGCTGTCCTCCTGATGACTGGTGATCTTGTTGGGGGGATATTCTAGAAGCAGCAGAAATGGAAGAAGAATCACAGATCCTCAGAATTAATAATGCTGAAGGAAATCCTTCAGCTCGGTCCTCGAGCTTTCGCTCCAGCAATGAGTGCATAAAGCAGCACAGCTGTGATAAAGTATCACAAAATCTCATGAGGCTAGCAATCAGAAGCAGCAGTCCCTTAGATGATCTCACGCAGACTCACAAATACGAAGTTAAAGGTAGTGGTCTCTAACTACAGCCCATGGTCCAGATGGGGCCCTTTGCTTGCCATTTTTCTGGCATATTTCTCTTACTGATGAGACACTATTCTTTCCATGGGCATCAACAGTAGGGCTTAAATCTTCCTACACCAATGTTGGGGCACTATTTCTCCCACTGACACCAATCATGGGGCACTATTCTTCCCACTAATACCAATAATTGGGCACTATTCCTCCTGCTACTGACCACAGGCGTTATATAATTTTTTTTACTACTACAACTGACCACCAAGCGTGGGGCATTGTTTACTCCCACTGACTATCGGAAATTTACTACTCTCACTAGCCAAGTCCAGCCCCCTTTAAGGTTGAGGGACAGTATTTTATTATTATTATTATTATACAGTATTTATAAAGCGCCAATAGTTCGCTCAGCGCTGTACATTACAAAGGGGGACAGAACATGTGACAGAACAATACCAATACAGTGCAAACATGAGGGGATTGAGGGCCCTGCTCTTTCGAGCTTACAATCTAGGAGAGTACACTTGTTCTTTCTTTAGAAAGACTGGAGACCCCTGGTTTTAGCCCAAAAAGTGTCTAGACATAGGAAGTGCCATGCTTTTTTTCAAAAGGTATTTTGAAAAAAGTTACATTTTTAGAGTACTGCTTAGACCCCTTTTCACAAGGGCAATCCGAACAAGTCCAGCAGTCATTATTATTATACAGGATTTATATAGCGCCAACAGTTTGCTCAGCGCTTTGCAATAGAACGGGAGACAATACAGCAACAATACAGTTCAATACAAGAGGGATAGGAGGGCCCTGCTCCTTGGAGCTTACAATCTAGGAGGGAGGGGCTAGTGGTACAAAAGGTAGTAACTGTGGGGGATGGACTGGTTGGAAGAGCAGAAGATTCCATTATTAGCTGATTCATTACACATTTGCTTACATCTGATCAGTTCCTCTTACAAAAACAGAAGGAAATCCATCCTCTTCTGTTTAGGAAGATCAGATCAAAGGTAGTTGGATGGAAAAGGACAGTGGAGTCCTTTTACTCTTGGCCGCTCACATGCAGAGCAGGATTTGGATGTGTTCTCTCTGCAGAAAGTGAGTGTACACAGATGTATCATCCACCCACTCTGCTTCAATCAACAGGGGATCTGTGAGCTGATCCCTTGCTGACTGGAACAGATTCCACCCCATGTGAAAGGGGCCTTGGACATATTAACATTTCTAGATGTTCCCTATAAGATAGTAAATATTCTGTTTCTGAGTTCAAGCCCACTCTAAAAGGTGCAGTTGTACTTTGCAAAATTTCAGAGGCTGACTTTTAGTTCCTTTTAGTTCACTGTGCCATAACTTTCATATTTCTTTCTTTATTTCAGGTATTTATATAGTGCTGTCAATTTATGCAGCACTTTACATATATAATGCGCATTCATATCCGTCCCTAACCCTCAAGGGGCGTACAATCTAAGGTCTCTAGCTCACATTCATACATACACATACTAGGGCTAATTTAGACAGGATCCAATTAACCTACCAGCATGTCTTTGGAGTGTGGGAGGAAATTGGGGTACCTAGAGGAAACCCATGCAAGCACAGGGAGAACATGCAAACTCCAGACAGGTGGTGCCGTGGTTGGGATTTGAACCAACGATCCTAGTACTGCCAGGTGGAAGTGCTAACCATTTAGCCACTGTGCTGCTCTAGAAGCAATTGCTTTCCTAAATGTGCTCTGATGATGGCTAACATATTCAGAACAGTTCTAACTGCCTCTATATGTAGACTGTATCTGTGTTACAAACAATTCATTTTGGATACAAAGAGGGGTAAATTAGTTTTTTTAAGTAAAGCTTAACCACACCCATTCCTGCCTGCTAAGCGTCTAACTGGTCACACAATGCTGGGCAGAGTCAGTGACCAATAGGGAGGTTTGAAAGGAGGAAAGGGAGGGCTTGGCCAGGATAAAAAAAATAACACCAAACTTTTCTTTCTAAGTTTGGATAGACTAGGGACTGGTTATGTCAGCTTTTCTGTGTCCCTGCTTGGTAGAATCTTGGTTTCAATTCCTCCTAAGGATCAATAGTACAGAAAGCTGCACACAATACAAAATGTTACAGTTGTAGCCAAAATACAAGGGGGGAATCCTCTAATTGGGGAACTTGTTCTGGTGTTTATTGTCAGAGCTGGGATTTCCTTTCTTTTGAGAGAGAATTCTACTTGCTTCCTGTTGTGTCTCTGGAAGTACAGAGAAATCTCCATCATGGGGCTATAACCAGCAATAAAAACGTGACTGGGGTTCTAACCTTTCCACATTACACACAAAACTAAAAAAAATTGTTTTAGATGGAGTTGCACCTTAACAAATAATGTGTTTAACTTAATCTGCCTATATCTTTGAATTTGTAAAATGTGATATAATGCTTTTACTATAGGTAGCTTATGCATGTCTTATCGTGTGCTCAGTTTTAATTGTCCAAAACATGTTACCGCTTGTTTCCCCTAATTACAAAACAAGAGTTTTGAAGACCACATGAGTAAATTAAGGGCTGTTCAATGGTGTTAGAGCTTAGTTGGGTGGATGATGTTCTGGGCTGACAAAAGGCCACTCAAGCTGAACGCTGTCCCATGGGTAACATGCTCACCCCCAGGGGGATCATGGGGCCCCTCTGTCCTTGCCCAAACTCAAAAAAGCCTATGAAAAAGGTACCAGGGGCATCTCATGGGGCCCTGTACTGACCCCGGGCCCTCAGGCAGTGCCCGAGTTTCCAAATGGTCAGTCCGCTCCTGCTCACCCCTACCTGGAACTCTGCTCAGTTAAAGCAAACTAATAAGGACTATGTGTAAGTACACAGTGGGGAGGCAGCCAGCAAGGGCAAATGGGTGGGGCTGGCTATTAGGAGACACTGCCACCTTGCTCTAAATGGTGATGCCAGTCACTTATACTGAATTGATTGGCTGCTTTATTTCTGTCTGAAAGGCTGTTCCTGCTGCCGATGTTTCATTTATGATGTTCTCTTTTGTCTAGGCATGTAGGTGCTTTAACCAGCCTGATAACATATTCTGAAATATCAAGGAATTTCAATATAAGACAATTTCATTTAAAACATGGTTAACACTGCAGATTGTATTTGCATAGAAATGACTATATTTTTCCTTTAACAGAATGTGGAATTTTGAACAGTATTCTGTATGCCAAAAGAATATCCAGTGTTATACCAATCTGGTAAAAAAAAATGTAGTTAACAGCTGTGTTGAAGACTATGTGGTTCTAAAGGCAAGTCTTGTAGGTCAAACAGCAGTATATTAGGTGGGCAAAAATCTAGCCATCTGGCAATTCTGATGGGAGCCAAAAGCTAATGTAGACATATTAATATAGGTACTGCATTTATGATTGGCTGACATACCCATACATTGCTGACTACTTCTGGGTTTCGGGGGTGCGCATGTGTGTCCCCTGGTCAGCACCAGCTGTGCTTGGCTGTGTACAAACACAACCAAGAGCTCTGTGTAGACAATTAACACAGAGCTCTCTATAGAGTGAAATTTAGAGATCTATAAGTAAAAGCAGCACACTTTACATACATTACACATAGTTAGGCACACAGTTAGGGACCTTAGATTGCCCTAGATGTTATCCTTTCTCAGTGTCATTAGTGCAGTGACAGTGTATAATATTATCACTGATCACTGTATTAATGTCACTGGTGATGTCAGTGGCAGTTAGTCAGTTCCCCCCCCCAATGTCAATTAGTGTCAGATTGTCCACCACACTATTGCAGTCCCATTATAAGTTGCTAATAACTGCCATTAGTAGTATTAAAAAAAATACAAATTCCAGTGTTTCCATAGTTTGCAAGTGCTTTAATTTTCACGCAAACCAATCAATATGTACTTATTGGGATTTTTTATCAAAGGCATGTAGCAGAATGCATTTAGGCAAAAATGTATGAAGAAATTAGATTTTAACATTTTTTATTGGATATGTTTTACAGCAGAAATTAAAAAAATATTATTTTTCTCGGTTATATCACAAAAAATAAAAAAACAAGTTGTGATCAAATACCACCAAAAGAAAGCTCTATTTGTTTGAAAAAAAATTATATAAATTAAGTTTGGGTATAGCATTGCATGAATGCACAATTACTAGTTAAAGTGGCGCAGAGCTAAATAGCAAAAAATGGCCTTGTCACAAAGGGGGTAAAATCATCCGAAGCATAAGTGGTTAAAGAGTAACTCCACTTTTGCTGGCAAAAAAAAACACACACACCCCTTAGGGTGATTAATGTACATTACAGGGATTTTAACAAACTTAGTAGCAAATTCCTACCTTTTGTTGCACTGAAGAAATAGCTCTTTGTTTCACCAGACTGATTGCATATTCATTCTGAATTGGAGGGTCTGGTTCCTTGTTAATTAGCTGATGCACTTTCTCTGTTCTAATAAGGAAAGCTTCAGTGTGTGCATCCCTTTAAAAGTGGGTAACCCTTAGGGGAGTATCTCACCAAAACTTACATTTATGTTGCAGAAGATGCCTAAATTCTGACTTGGATCATAGTGCAGACTTCTGGGAAAATCAGTGAGCCAATCCCACAAGCAGGAAATTACATTATTGGAGGCGTTCTGTACACCAACTGTGTATAGGACACCTCCAGGTTGCCATATTGCATTGAATTTTACAGAAAAGTAGAGTGCTGAAGACTGAAAAAAAGGCCTTTTTTTAATAAGATTAAAATACAGCATGGCTTGTGTAGCAATTGTAAATTTCATACTGTATATTTATTTTTTATTTGCTAATTTTTTTCTTCCACAGAAGTGAAGTGATCCTTTAACTTAATTACACACTTTTCATGTAGCAGGCCTTCCTTCAGTCCAGCACCAAGTCCAATCCCTTTGTTGCTGCTGCTTGACACAGTTGCTGAAGGTTCCCTGTACACCAGAGAACAGGGGATATTTTGATTTTGATATTTTAATAAAAAAAAAATCAGTATTAATGTACTGCATGTAAAACCTAAAAAGTTTGGGCTTTAAAGGCACCTTAAAGGATACACCATCCTGTACTAGAGAAGTAAATGTATTTTGGTCACATGATTTTTAGAGAACTCTGTAAAACCTGCCTATGGCTTACTATAAACACTAAAGTGGGCTTTCAACTCAAACTGGGGATTTGTTGACAGGCAAAACGTCTACACATGACAGATGGGCAAGTGACAAACAATTAGGAAAATGATTGGACTCGTGAAAAATGTAGTATATTTAAGGTGAAATTTATCAGTGAAAATGTAAAGGTGGACCTTCGTTTCAAGGTGACGATAAGCATTACTGGATCATAACGACTTTCTTTCTTCATTGTACACTGTGTGAACATTTCATTTTTTTTTAATGATACACAAATTGTACATAAATGTAATATGTAGGGAATAAAAGCGACCAGTGCTTAGTCTCTATTTGACTTTTTGTTTTTTGTAAGGGCTGAGAAGCTTTTCAAGGGTAGATTTATTTCTTTCTCTTCTGAGCAATTTTGTGTAATAGAAATGAAGTATGTTTGAAAGCATGCCTGCCTCATCGCATTCATTGTCTTTATTACAGGCTGGATTCTTAGTATATCTTTATGTTAATAGATGGTTCTGCTTAGTGTACATTTTTATTCTTGGCTGGAGATTAAAGAAGAATTAAATTGTTTGTTTAACTAGTTGCAGACTGGGCATAGCAATATGACGGCTACACTGCAGCCAGCCAGTTCTGGGAGGGCGTCATATGATGTCCTCCTGTGATCGCACCCCCGGTGGAGCACATCGGGAACTGTCAGTGATTGCTGTATCCCCTGGACACAACCATCACAAATTGGGGTAAAGGGTCAATCACAGCGGCCCTTTACCATGTGATCACACTGTCCAATGATGAACAATTACAAATGTAAACAAACAGAGGTCCATGCCTGGGTCTTCTCTTTCCTTTCCTCACACCAATACAGAGTGTTAGGAAAGGAGAGAGAATCGGTTGTAAAACTTTGAGAGTATATTTTGCCAAACTGCTTAACAGTGCCCTATTAGTGCTCATAAGTGCCTTATCAGTACCTATCAGTGCCCAATGGTGCCCATCAGTGCTCATCAGTGCCCATCAGTGAGTGCTTGTCAGTGCCCATCAGTGCTGCCTCATCATTGCAGCTTATCAATGTACATCAGTGCACATCAGTGCTCATCGATTCCCTTCAGTGCTCATCAGTACTGTTCAGTGCCCATCGGTGCTCCCTCATCACTGCAGCTCATCAGTGCCCATCAGTGAGTACTCATCATTGCTCCTCAGTGAGGGCTCACCAGTGCCCATCAATGCTGCCTCATCTCTGCAGCTTATCAGTGCTCATCAGTTCTGCTTCACCACTGCAGCTTATCAGTGCACATCAGTGCCCATCAGTGCTGCCTCATCACTGCAGCTTATCAGTGAACATCAGTGATCATCAGTTACCATCAGTGCTACCCCATTACTGCAGCTTATCCGTGTACATCAGTGCCACTTATCAGTGAACATCAGTGTCACAATATCAGTGGATCCTCATTAGCACCCATCAGTGTCACCTCATCAGTGCACATCAGTGCCAGCTTATCAGTGCAGCCTCAGTGCAGTGCATTAGTGAACACCAATGCAACCTCATTAATGCCCATTACTGCAGCCTCATCAGTTTACATCAGTGCACATCAGAGTTATCTTGTCAGCATCCACAAATGAACCCTCATCAGCACCCATCAGTGCCCACTCATCAGCACCCAACAGTGCACCCTTATCAACATCCATCAGTGCACCCTTACTAGCACCCATCAGTGCACCTCATTAGCACCTAGCAGTACACCCTCATCACTACCCAGCAGTGCAGCCTCACCAGCACCCAGCAGTGCAGCTTCTTCGGGAAACAGCAGTGCAGACTTGCCAGCACCCAGCACTGCAGGCTCACCAACACCCAGCAATGCAGCCTCATCAGAGCAGCCTCATTAGCACCCATCAGTGCTGCCTCATTAGAGCAGCCTCATCAGCAGAGCTGCTGTTAGAAACCATGGGGCCTCATACAGCCAACTTGACAAGCCATCCCATTCCCACAAGAAAACACAGTTTACTATGCTTCAATTATGAATGAACACAGTGATTCATTGGTACCAATCACTCATAGTGTTCAATCAGGAAAGAAAGGGGCTGGTAAATGTGACATATTTACCAGACCCTTTCCCCACTCTACATCCTGAATGATCCTATTATATGTTTGTAGTTGCCGATGGGAATGAGAGCAGTAGAGCAGTAGAGCAGTGCCATCCACAAGTGGAGCAGTGGCACCAGTAGCATAGTGGCATTCACCAGAAATGGAGAAGCGCTGAAAGAAAGGCCAAATACTAGTGGGGTGTCACTTCAGCCACAAAGATTTAGGACCCATGCCGGTCTTCCATATGCGCTTCAAAGCTCCCTATGGCTTCCCCATAACTCTAGAGCAGCTAACATCCCCTCTTTTACTGCCTAGCCAGGAGTTGAATACAGACAATTTTGCCCCCCTCGATTTTTTTTATTTAATGTTTTACTAATGACTTATCTAATTCAATTGTGGACCAGTGCAACCTCTATGCCCAACAATTCATAGCCAACAACCCAGATTCAAGTTATGCCTGTCCCTATGAATGGAAGCAGTTAACAGTGGAGGAATTTAGAATCTTTTTGGGCCTCACATTTAATATGGGATTTACAAACAAAAAATTAATTACACTCCTACTGGTCTACCCACCCCATCCATCATATGCCCATTTACTCATCAGTCATGCCCAGAGCAAGATATTTAAGGATCATGCGGTTTCTCCATTAAAATGATAACAC